CCCGGGGGGCGCCCATTCCGGCGCCCGCCAGAAATCGAAAAAGTATGGTATGGGCAACATCTGGGCCAAATTTGGTGCTTTTGGAAGAATGTGAATCAAACGGCCCTTTTTTAGCCCTACCACCCCTGACTATTATGGCATTTTATATATATAACCAGTCGAATGCGTATATATTTTACCTTTCGCAAAAATATGATTCCCTTACATCGACGTCACTTTGATATATAGAATGCATTTCGTATACAGGTCAACGAATTGATTGCTCTCCTGTCAGAATGACTGCACCAGAATATCATGAGTTTTACTGTACTTGCAGATTTTCAGGACATATCTCACCTTCTGTGGTATCGGAATACAGAACGCGCAACTGTTCGACATGTCCGTCCGCGAGTATAAAAGAAACCGGGTGAGGTTAAACGTCATGTAATTAAGTTAACTACTAGCAGTACTTCGCGTTTTACATGTGTAATATTTTGTTAGTATACCACTTATTATTACTATTATTATTACTATTAATAATAATAATAATAATATTTATACCATATTCCAGAGTACTCATCCATACCATTATAGTATTATATCGTGTTGCACCTGATTTGTTTCGAGTCAGTATATTTCATGTATTCTACAGGCATGGTGGCATGATTACTCTACTTCTTTAATAACTTGTCTAATATAGCCTCGCAAGTTTGTTAACAATACACTTTGCACTCTAGCTACTGCTTCAACTTGCAAAAGGCATCTTTGAGGAACAGACTGACCTTGACGTTCTGATCAGAAAGATAATGGTGGAGTCAATTGGCCTGTTGAAATGTGAACGATGCTGTGTGTATCTAGTGGATATCGCAACATCAAAGGTAGGTCCATTTTTATGAACATTTGTCCTAGTCCCGTATTTTTTCCGTATTTGTGTCTGCGTTGTAGCAAAATGTAGCTCATTAAGTGTATGCCACCTTTACCACAACCGACAAGATTGTGTGCTCCAGAGTACTTCGTAATTAAAATGTTAATGAAGAATCTAGACGTCCAATAATAGTGTGTGCTGATGGTGTTTCACCTTGAAGCTGGCACACGCCTTCTGCTGAGAATGCAAATTTCAGTGGTATTTATAGTTCGCGTTACTGCTGCAGCATAATTTGTGGTTATTGATGGCAGGCGTAGCCGTCGATTTGTTGAGTTCGGGAGACATTTGTCGTGATAAGCGCGTGTAACTGCTTGTTTCCCACACACAACGTTGAATATAGCTACGCGCAATCCTGCATGAGCATAATGCATAACGAATGTAACAAGTAATGTAACAAAGCCTTCATTCTTTATCATATATATATATA